GCTCCAATCCCATGACCCTTGAACTAATCGATCCGTGATTGTGCTTCCAATGATATCTGGCCACGACATATAACACGTTGATATCGCCCTCTCGGTTGTGAGACAGGGCTCGCCGTGGGCAGATGCCTCGTTGCGCTCTCGGACCCGCATTTGGAACCCTTGACAGGACAAGACGTGCGGACGATTGATGGGCACGTCTGCTTCCACTACAGGATATAGACATTCGCTTCGGAGGACATCTACACGCGTCCCATTGAAACCAGAAACTAGCCTTCGACCAAACAACAAACACATTTAAAACGTATTCCAAAAAACAGGCCCTCTATCATTTAGCATAAAGATGGTGTTGGCGAGTACTGACCCTGAGCCAACTCTGGCATTCGCATTGGAGGCGGCCTCGCTCGCCACCTCCGAAACATCAGGTATCCGATTGAGCTGGCCCATGCATAAGTTGAGTGACCCTGCGCGACTACTGGCAGGGCAGGAATCTAAAATTCGGCCTCCTCCTTTGCATGCACTCTTGCCTCTGGAGGTGAACCTGTCGGTAGTGTCTCAACCTGCCGGGCCTGGTGTTAAGTCGGGATGACCCTGCCATCGCCCCAAATTTAAGTTGGCCCTGTTACGCTCGACAGCTGAACCGTTCCGCCCCCGAAGCGAATCCTGGAGCTGGAGATGGCGTTGAAGACTGAGATCGGCCAAGATTGGCTGCTCTTGCTTGGTGAATCCGCCGCCGTGCATTCGGAAAATAATGTAGTGATCTAGTGAAACTGTCAATGCTGAACACATTGTGCGATTCTGCAGCTCGGGGCCGCGGCCAGCAGCTTCGAGGCATTCTCAAGCTTCCTGGGATCCCCCGGGATGGGTAGCACGAGGCTTCCAGGAGCCAAGGCCGCACACATCGATCGGCCATCCCGCAACACTATCCTAAGTAACGCCAGACAACGCGAAGACGGCCTTGGGGAGGTTCCAAGCGGCCCCAAAGGACCCCGAAGCCCCACAAGAGTCTCCAAACACTTTTTCCGTCGGCGGCGAGGCAGAGGCGGTCCGCTCCAACGTGTGCCAATTCGGGGCAGCCGAATGGCTATTTTTTCCGCCGCAGCGCACACTCCTCCGCAGCGCCAAAGAACGAGTCTAAAGCGAGAGCAAGCAAGCAACACAGCGGCCACTCGCTGTCCAAAGCAAGCGGGCTTAAACAGAAGAGGAGGAAAGGGAAGGAGCGGGGGCAGAGAGGGAGGAAGGGGAGAGAAGAGCACACCTGCCCAAAGATACGAATTTCTACGGAAACGTAGAATGTTGAATTGGCACATGCACATCGAGGAATCCACAAACGTCTTAATCGATTAGGACGAAATGCAAGTATGTGGCGATACGGATTCACCTCAAATCGTATCGGTGAAACCGTTTTGCTCCACCGCGCAAACTGGATGCCGCCACGCACTCGCTTCTGCAGCCCCTGCGCGACACCTGGATGCCGCCGCACACTCGCATCATCTGAGGCACCAATGCCGCCACAGCATTGCCCAAGCTTCAAATTTCCGCCGACCAGGTCTGGACGATCTTGCTGGGGAGGGAGAAGGACGAGGAGGGAGGCAGGGGAAAACGAAAGCGACTGTGGATCCACACATGGGGGGCGCAGGGGGACGGGAAGCTCTGAGAGCAAACCGCCCCTGACGCCGCCAAGGCGGAGGACGCCGCACCCCCTCCACGCGGGGGGGCAGCGCGGGTAAAGAACATAACAACGCACTAGAACTAATAGTGAGCATACAATGCAAAACATTAGACAGACAGGGGCGGAACACAACGCGAAAGAGGGGAAGAAGCAAAAGATAACGGAAGGAGATAACCTACATAGCACCCCGCAATTGCGGATAAGAGTGAAGGGGGCGGGCGCGGGCGACGCGGACGTCGTCGAGCCGGCGGACCTCGTGGCCCCCACCTTCCCTGTCGATGGCGCCCTCGTCCTCCTCCTCCTCCTCCTCCTCGTCCTCCTCCTCCTCCTCCTCCTCTTCCTCGTCCTCGTCCTCGTCGTCATCGTCATCGTCATCCTCCTCCTTCGCCTCGTCCTCCTCTTCTTCCTCGTCTTCCCTCTCCCCCCCTCGTCCTTCCATCATCGTCCTCCCATTGCCGTCCATCCCCTCATCGGCCTCCAGCATCGTCCTCCCATTGTCGTCCATCATCATCATCCTCCCCCTCCTCCCCCTCCTCCCCCTCCTCGTCCTCCTCCTCCCCCTCCTCCCCCTCCTCCCCCTCCTCCTCTCCTTGCTGCTCCTCCTCTTTCTCCACATTCTCCTTACATCCTCTCTTCTTTCGCGTCCTCCTCGTCCCCTGTTTACTCCTCCTGCCTCCCCCTCCTTTCCCAAGATAACGGCAACGCAATCCTTTTTTCCACTTTATGCTCCCCGACTTCTCTGATCAAGGCAACTCGCCAGGGCAAAGTTGCTGGACGGGCTGGTGTGGATGCGCGGGGCTTGAAGAGGTCGTTGCGGGCTCAGACGGCATGCGAAAATCCGCCGCCGCGCTTGTGCCGCATTGGTTTGTTCAGTGAACGCGGTTTGGGTCGCGGGTGGGTCGCGGGCTCTCCACCTCCACCTGGTGTGTACGCCGCAAGCGCCGAAAAAATTGGTGTGTACACTGAACGTGGAATGGGTCGCGGGTGGGCCGCGGGTTCTCCACCGGGAACGAATGCAAAGATGCCCGCCGCAGGCGCCGAAAAAAATGGTTTGTACCCTGAACGTGGTCGCGGGTGGGCCGCTGGCTCCCCACCTGAAACGAATGCAACAGATGCCCGCCGCAGGCGCCGAAAAATGTGGTTTGTACTCTGAACGGGGTTTGGGTCGCGGGTTGGTCGCGAGTTGGTCGCGGGGTGGGTCGCGGGCTCTCCACCTGGAAGGAATGCAAAAAAAGCCCGCCGCAGGCGCCGAAAATGGTGGTTGGTACCTTGAACGTGGTTTGGTCGAAGGTGGGTCGCGGGTGGGTCGCGGGGTGGGTCGCAGGTGGGTCGCGGGTGGGTCGCGGGTGGGTCGCGGGTGGGCCGCGGGCGGGTCGCGGGGTGGGCCGCGGGCGGGTCGCGGGGTGGGTCGCGGGTGGGTCGCGGGTGGGTCGCGGGTGGGTCGCGGGGTGGGTCGTGGGGTGGGTCGCGGGGTGGGTCGCGGGGTGGGTCGCGGGTGGGTCGCGGGTGGGTCGCGGGGTGGGTCGCGGGGTGGGTCGCGGGGTGGGTCGCGGGTGGGTCGCGGGTGGGTCGCGGGTGGGTCGCGGGTTGGGTCGCGGGGTGGGTCGCGGGGTGGGTCGCGGGGCGGGTTGCGGGTGGGACGACGACAACAAACAACAACAAACAACAACAACAAACAACAACAAACAACAACAAACAACAACAAACAACAACAAACAACAACAACAAAAAGCAACAAACAACAACAACGAGAATCCGCACCGCGAAATCCCACTTCAGCCACGCACCCAGGGACAGTGAATGACCGTTCGGCCCCCTCACTCTGACTTACTCACTCACTCAACTGGCCCCATAGTGCTGGACACCGAGGCGACGTGTGGTCCTGAGGGCAAGGAAACCTGCAGGGAACAGAAAAAGGCGTCCCACCGCCCAACCCCACCACCCTCACCCAGAGCATACCAGAGCCAGAGAGCTGGGCACGATTGATTGTCCCAGCCGTCCTTGCGCTGCTGAGGCGGCCGTGGCTGACTGGCTGTGCTGGCTGGCGTTGGTGCTGCACTCGGTGCTGGCGTCGGTGCCAGTGTAGGCGCTGGCGCATGTGCTGGCATACGTTGGCATCGGTGCTGGCGTGCTGGCGTCGTCGCTGGTGCAGGCGCCTGCTTGGCGTTGGTGCCGGAGTAAGCGCTGGCAATGGCACTGGCGTGGGAGCCGGAGCTGGTGTCAGGACTGGTGCAGTACACCAGTTCAGTCTTGCTGTTGGCGTCGGTGCTGGCGTCGTCGCTGGGGCAGGCGCTGGCGCTGGTGCCAGCCAAGCGCAGGCATTGATGCTGGCGTCGGCACTGGCGACGGCGCTGGCGTCGCTGGTGGTGTAGTCAGCGAGCCACTCGACGCAGGAGTCGGCGAGTTGGTGGGCGCGGTATTAGGTGAGCTGGTCGGCGCGGGAGTCGGCGAACTGGTCGGCGCTGGGGCCGGTGAGCTGGACGGGCTGGAGTCGGTGAACGGGTCGGCGATGGAGTCGGCGAGCTGGCTGGCAGTGAAGTCGATGAGCTGGTCAATGCAGGAGCCGCCTAGCTGCTCGACGTGGGAATCAACGACCAGTGTCGTGCTACGTGTTACGCAGCGTCGTGCTGCTGGAGCCCGTCGTGTAGCACAATGTTGTGCCACTGACGCACGTCGAGCATCGCCCTCCTGGTGCTGGAGCCGGTGCTGGTAGCACTGGTGGTGGAGTTTGTGGTGCGCGTCGAACTAGGTGGTGCCAATTTGTTGCGCAGGAGGAAGCACGTGTGAGAAAAAATCTGGGAGGAGGGCGGAGACGCGAGAGACAGGAAGGGGCAAAGGAGATGGGAAGGAGGAAGGGATAACAAGGAAGGAGGGAGGGGTAGAAGAGTGCAGGAGGAGAGAGGCACGCAGGAGGGAGCAAAGGAGGATCTGGGAGAGAGCCAGGAGGGGGGGGAGGAGAGGGGGGAGGAGGAGCAAGCAAAGGGACGGGCAGGGAGGACCGAGGGCGAGGGGGCGGAGGCCGAGCGAGGGAGACGGGAGGAGGGAGGACGAGCGAAGCGGGGCCGAAACATCCGAACGGATGAGGAGGAGGAGGAGGAGGAGGAGGAGGAGGGGAGGAGGAGGAGGAGGAGGAGGAGGAGGAGGAGAGAGGAGGAGGAGGAGGAGGGAGGAGGAGGAGGGGAGGAGGAGGGGGAGGAGGAGGGAGGAGGAGGAGGAGAGGAGGAGGAGGAGGAGGGAGGAGGAGGAGGAGGAGGAGGAGGAGGAGGAGGAGAGAGGAGGAGGAGGAGGAGGGGGAGAGGATGGATGGAGGAGGGAGGAGGAGGAGGAGGAGGAGGAGGAGGAGGAGGAGCAGGAGGAGCAGGAGGAGCCGGCAGGCGCCCGGAGAGCGCGGCCCCCGAGAGGCACGCAGGGCTGGGCAGAGGCCCTCTCGGCGCCCCGCTCCGGGGGCCACGCTCCGCTCGAGGGCGCGCGCGGGGGAGGCTCGGGGCGGCCGCAGTGGGCAGGGGGAGCATGGGCGCGGTGCCCAAGCAGCACTTCCTGTGCATTCTGAGCATCGGGGGTGGACAGCAAGGGCTCCCAACTTCGCGCTCTCGCGCTCCGCGGAGCGCGGATAACTTCGCGCTCTCGCGCCGCCGCCCGAAAGGGAGAAGCGGAGGACGAGGAGGAGGGGGAGAAGGCACGAGGACCGCGAAGCGCGAAGCGCGAATAACTTCGCGCCCTCGAGGGCGCACTTGGGACAGAGGGCCCTTTCGGTGAAACGTGGTGTGGTGAAAACGGCCTCGGGCCCAAACCTGGCGGGCGCAAGCCTGGAGAACGACGGCCGCGGCGTCCTCTCGAGAACCGAAAACGGACACTTCACTCATCGACGTGTCAGGGTGGGGGTTCTGTCCACCCCCGAGATGGGTACGGAAAGAATGGGTACGATGCCCAACAGCACTTCCTGTTCATTCTGAGCAGGACTCACTGTCTGCGCCGCCGCGGACGCTGTTCTTTGGAGACAGAAGGCCGCCTGCCCAACAGCAGCCGCTGGCGGGTTTGGACAACATGTGTTGTTGGGCATGGTACCTTTGTTTTCCGTACCCAATTCGGGCGTCCTGAGAGATGGGTACTCCGCGAAAGGATCTCTACTCCACCTGGCCGCGCGTGACGTTGTCCGCCCGGACGGTCTTCACGCTGCCGTCCTCGATGCGAGGCGGGCATCTGTTTTCCCATGCGAAGCCTTGGGAGACATCTGGGAGGTCTTCGCCAGCACGAATGAGCGCTACTCAGTCTGGTCGAGGGGCCACCAAATCGGATCAGGCAAGATTGAGCCCAGGAGTACGCCAAAGTCAGCGGGACTAAGCCAGATTCAGCGGGACTCGATTAGTCTAGGCTGGTTTTTGACGAGGGATATGCCAGCGCCGAGTCTGCATTGTCCCTTCCCAGGAGCTGCACCCTGACAAAGCCCGAGCGCAGGCGAGGAGACTGGGCCGCAGCCCGCGGGCAGAGGCACAAAAAGAGAGCGCCCGCACACATAACGAGCGAGACACCAGAGACCAAGACCAGGCCATCCTGGCGGAACCGGCAGCGGAGACCGAGCGGCACTGCGCCACCACGTTGGCCACGGTGGCCCCGGCGAGGCTGGGACCTCTCCTGGGACCTCGGCGGGCGGCGGACATGGGCACATCTGGCTCCCAATGGGGCCCAAATGCAGAAGCCCGCTTCCGCCACCCGCCGAGGTCCCCCAGCGGCGACCCCCAGGCGGTGGTCAGGGACAGATCCCCGCCCCGGACTCGAGCGCGCCGAGGGCTGGCAGCGAGAAGGAGAGACGATGCCCTGGCCTTCGAGGCCCCCAAACGGCCCCTCGAGGGCCCCGCACCTCGCGCCTCTCGCGCTCCGCCAGCGCGCGTGGAGCGCGGACAGCTTCGCGCTCTCGCGCCCCCCCCCCCCAGGGGGAGGAGGAGGGGACCGCGGAGGAGGCGGAGCCGCGGACCGCGAGTCGCGAGCCGCGGAGCGCAGACGACCTTGCACCCTCGAAGGGCCCCCCCTGTCGCTGGCCTGCAGGGCCTCCCATCGAGGAGCGACCCCCCTGGCCTGCTGAAGGCCGAGGGGGCGTCCCTCGAGACGGCCCCCGGGCCCCAATCTCGGCGCCCCCCCCGAGCCCCCGGGACCTCGCCCTGCACCCGGGAATGCAACCACTGGAAGGCATCGATACCATGCTGCGGAGCGCTGCAGCCAGCCCGTGTCATGAGGATGCGCGGTGAGGATGCAAGGGCCTTGGAAGGCCATGGCCACGTCGACGCTTTACGAGCGGAGCGCGGCCAGCGAAAGCGGTCAAGGATGGACCAAAGAGGCAAGGATGCAAGGGTACCCCTGGGAAGGCTGCCCATCCTTCCTGTGCGGGGGTCGACTGCAGCCCATTCAGAGCACGCGTCACGCGGCTATGGTTTTGGACACTGTGCGGCTACCGTTCCAACACTGCCCGCGTCTTGCATTGCGTTGGCGGTAGCCCTGGCCCATGTTGCCGCGCGCGCGCCCGTCGACCCGGACGCTCCTTTCCGGGGAGGAGGAGAGGAGGAGGAGGAGGAGGAGGAGGAGGAGGAGGAGGAGGAGGAGGAGGAGGCGGCCGAAGCGGACGAGGCGGCGGAGAAGAAAGAGGAGGAGGAGGAGGAGGAGGCGGAGGCAGAGGCGGAGGAAGAGGAGGAGGAGGTGGAGGCGGAGGAGGCGGCCGAAGCGGACGAGGCGGCGGAGAAGAAAGAGGAGGAGGAGGAGGAGGCGGAGGCGGAGGCGGAGGCGGAAGCGCAGGAGGAGGAGGAGGAGGAAGAGAAGGAGGTGCAGGAGGAGGAGGAGGAGGAGGAGGAGGAGGAAGAGGAGGAAGAGAAGGAGGTGCAGGAGGAGGAGGAGGGGGGGGGCCCGGAAGGTCCTGGCCGCCCGAGGCGCCTCCGCGCGGGCCTTCCCTCGCAGGGTGGCCAGGCAAGACTCCCCGAGGGCCCCCGCCGAGAGACCAAGGGGTACGCGCCCAAGCGATGCCGGGCCACTGCTTCACCGCACGGCGTGATCTGGACGGCGCGCACCGACAACGGGATGGAGGGGGCCCCCATCCCCCCCTCCTCGCTGCGCGCCGCGCGGTGAAGCGGTTGCCTGGCATCGTTTGGGCGCGAGGTCGTCTGCGGTGAGGCGGTGGCCTGGCATCGCTAGCAGCAGGGGCGGTGGCGGTGGCGGTGGCGGTGGCGTCTGCGGTAAGAAGCCTCCCCCCTCCGATGGGCGGAGGCTCCTTAGCAGGAGGTTGCTCCTGGGGCCCGCGCCCTCTGAGCAGCAGCCTCCTCGTGTCAGAAGCCCCCCTCCCTCCCCCGCCCCCAGGAGGAGGAGGACGAGGAGGAGGACAGGAGGAGGAGGAGGAGGAGGAGGAGGAGGAGGAGGAGGAGGAGGAGGAGGAGGAGGAGGAGGAGGAGGAGGTGGAGGAGGAGGAGGAGGTGGAGGAGAAGAGGAAGAAGAGGAGGAGGAGGAGGAGGAGGAGCAACAGCAGCAGCAGCAACAGCAGCAACACAACATCGGAGCATTGCCAGGTCAATCCACGAACATGGCGTATAGTGTATAGTAGGTGCCTGTGCCCGTCGCTGGCGTCGAGCCTTACCGCCATGGTGGCTATGCTCGCGGCGTGCAGGCCCAGCCTGCCAAAGACAGCGCGCGGGCGCCGAACGAGCATTGACACGGTCAACCTCCCAGGCGGCCCGCCGCCAGAGAACTCAAGCGCAAATTCCAGCAGAGGTCTTACTTAATAGTTGCAAGTTCCCGTCTTCACCTCTGCTTGAAATCCCCCCTGTCTGCACAACATGCCTATTTAGAAGATTCTCGTGCACCCGCTGGCGAGCTACCTCAGAGTCCGAGGGAGTGCCAGCACTCATCAGTCGAAGAGGCCAGGCGCCGAAAGAAGGGGAGGGTGGCAGGCAGCGTCTCGCCGCGCACGAAATGAATCGGGGTCAGGCTGCTGGGCAGGGCCTCGCTCGGCGGGGCCACTGCAAGGCGCCCAGCTACATCGATACATCGTCCTCCAGCCATCCTGGCGGCGCGGGGCCCGTGCGCCTGGTGACCAATCCTTCGCCCAGGAAGGCTCGAGTGACGACTCCACGCAGCTCCCAAAAAGGGCGGCGACGATGATCTTGGCCACGTTCTCGTCGTGTCTTCTCCACCCCGATGGCCTGGATCACGAACTCCATGTCCAGCTTGCTGACGGTGGGCGTGATTCCTTCCATCGGTAGCTGCACTTCCTCCATGTACGCGTTGTTCTCGTCCTTCGCCTTGCCCCCCACGTCGCTTTTCAGGAGCCCCATCCAGGAGGGCCATCGCCATGCCCGCCGCCGGGGATCCGACCTTCTTGGGAGCATCGCCGTCTTCTCCATGTTGACGTCCTCGTCCTTGGCGGCCTGGTGCGTCTCGCCCGTCCTGCTGGCCTTCTGCGGAGGTGCCTCCGACGCCGCCGTTCTGGCTTTTTCGTTGCTGCCAGCGCTGCCAGAATTCCCAGACTTCTGGGAGGACGCCGGCGGGGGCAGCCTCCACTGCGCTCTTGGCGCTCTCTGCTGCCGCTGCTCCTCTGGGGTCGCCGCTGCCGCCGTCATCGCGTCGAACGGGTCGTACCAAAGTGGGGGTGCTTACTGCTAGGCGAACCAAAGGTCCGATTGATGTAGCAGCTGTCCTGGCGGTTGCCCCGGTCGCTTGCGAGCGGGGCGGAGGAGTCCATGTCGCTCGTCGAGCGGGCTGGCGATCAACTGGTCGTTGATGGGCTCGCAGGCGGTGACGCTGGTCCCGGCACGCCTGCCGTAGGCGAGTTCGAACTTCCGAGGTATCCTGTGGTCGCCGATGCCTGCTGGGCGGTGGCGGCGGCGGAAAGAGGCCACTCGCGCGCACGCTCGGGCTGTGGGCGGGCGCCGTGCACGCTGTCTTGAGCCTAGGGTCCGTCGGGGTCGGGTGGACGTGGGATGCCAAGTGCCGTCGAAGCCCCTCAGGGGTGGGATAATACTCCTTGCATGCCAGATCGTCACACCAACCAACCATTGAACATCGTGTAAAATCCGACGATATCCAGGTGTAGGAATGCCGTGTCATCTCGGGCCTGCACACCCCTGACCTCCATGCCCGTGCAAAGTTCCGTCTCGAATGGCCCGCGCAACTGAACACACTTTACCAACTCACACACGTGTTGTCAACAGAAACATGTGAGAAGATAATCAGGCGGGGTCCCGTGTCCTGGCAAGGTCGTAGCATGTATATGATGCCTCACAAGCTCTCTGAGCGTCGCAAACCGTGCTCGGCAGCCGTCGAGGCCGCAGACCAGGGGGTGGGTTTCTTCCTCTTCGCTGTCGGTTTCCCCCATCCTTGTGCTATCTAGTAGGAAGTCCAGGAAATGCTCGGGTGGGGCCAATTCGTTCCCGTGGATGGTCGAGCGGGAAGCACTAAAGTCGATGACAGTGAACGCCTGGACAACATCTGGGTCGTCGAAGAATCGGCCTATCGTGCGTGGGTTCCAAGCCCCTCGGAAATCCGAGTGCTTTAGGTTTCAAAGTTTGAAAGTTTGAAAGTCTGAATGGAAAACTATAGTTTGAACAGCATGGTAAAGGCGAGCGTGAAAGCTTGAAAGTTTGAAGGTGACGACCGCCAGAGTTTGAAAGTTTGAAAGTTTGAAAACGAAGAGACCCATGCAACGGGGTCTAACGAATGAAAATTTGAGAATTGGAATGTAAGCCGTGTCTGTAAGTCCGGTCGGAATAGATGGGCCCCGGGATGCACGATTCCATGTGGATTCAGCACGCCACTTGCTAACAAGGTGCGCGCCGGGGCAGGCCCTCCGTCCTCTCTCGCACGTATTCCGAACTCGCACTCGCCAAAGAAAGCGTGCAGGAATTGGAGATTCTGCCCAACATGCTGTACGATCGATCTCCACCACAACAGCCTCCTTATCATCAGCTCGACGCCAGTCGGTGGGATGCTCCATTCTTCGAACACCTGCCTGTTGGTCCATGACCGGTGGGTGCCATCCTCGTTATCCTGGTGTGCCTTCCCCTGGGATATACATCCTAGCTGTTTGGCCAATGTTGTAGCTCACGCATCAAGTTCGACCTTGCTCAACACGTAGGATTCCAGACCAGACCAGACCGCCCCCGCCACATTGGCCAAGAAACTCATCCTCTTGCATCTCCACGGGCCTGGGGCACATAGGAAGTGCGACAAATTCGTCCATCCGGCGCGCATTCCAGCCTTGATTTCCCTCTTGTCGCTTCCACTCACATTATGTAGCCCCCCAGAGGCAGCGTGTCCGTCAGCGCACGTCCTGCTGCCATACTTTCAGCGTGCTTGGTATCGCGGCTCATGGCAAGCTGGGCCAAGACCTCCTGCTTCTGCGCGTGCTGAGCACCCCCCCCCTCGCGTAGACGCCGACTCCGCGTAGCACTGTCTGCGTGACCCAAGCCGACTGCCTGCCTCGCCGAATCGTCTGGTACTACCAGCACGCGAACAACATCGTCCACGAAACCTCCAAAGGCCAAGTCCTCCTTCGTCCCTCCCTCCCCCGTCGTCGCCGTCGGACTGCGGGCAAACAGCGCATCTCCCACAATAGTGTTCACTTCTCTCTGCCACATCTCGACCAGCGGGTAAAATGGATCCATAAAAAGCTCGGGTTCGTTGGAGTCCCCCATCCGCCCTCCGGTCCCAGGGTGCATCGTCACAAGACCGTCACACGCCTCATAGTACATGATTCCCGTCTCCCGATACTGAACAAGTAGTGCATCGTAGTGATCGTCAACCCCCCTGGCTGTGTACATTGCATAACCGCTCGTGGGACCCCGTACCGGAGGCACTCCGCATATCGTACGACTTCACTAGATAGCACAAGATGCATCAGCGCAAGTTCCATATAAGCAACTTCACAATCGTCATGAGTCCCTCGCGTAGCCGTCGTCGTATCCCCCCGTATGCCCAACTAGGAGAGGCGTAGGGGGTCCCGTAGTCCACCAGGCCCACCCAGAGTAGGAGGCGCCACCAAAGGCAGAAGCAACGCAGCAATCGGAGGCAAGCCGTTATGTCCCGCACCGCGTCCCCCGTCAAGGCCTTGCCAGGTTTTCCCACCGCCATCGTGCGGCTGACCCGCACGGAAGGAGGCTCCGCGCACGGATGTGGGCGAGCAGCATGGTCAGGGTCTGTGCGTCGCTGCGGGCGGGCAGCCCCGGCCTCGAAATCCAGGGGGTCAGGCTCGGGCACGCGGGGCGCGTGGCCTGGCCCTGCCCGCGGGGGTCCTGGGCGGGTGAGTCGAGTGGGGAAGAGGATGAGCCTGGTGACCTCCACGGGCCAAGACCAGGGAGGGCTGCGCCGACGGTGCGCGCTGGTCCACAGTCGCTGTTTTTCCCTACCTAGGCTCTGCCTAGAAGGGGTCATACTTTATTAGCTTAAAGGGGCCGGGCAGCGTTCCCCGCCCCGGGCGGTTCCCCAGCCATCCGCCCCGCGGTTCCCCCAGTTGCGCCCCCTGGGTTCACCCAGCTTAGCTTAGCTTAGCTTAGCTTAGCTTAGCTTAGCTTAGCTTAGCTTATATCATATTAGTTTAGCTTAGCTTAGCTTAGCTTGGTTTAGCTTAGATTTGCCTAGCCTAGCTTAGCTTAGCTTATCTTAGCTTAGCTTAGCTTAGCTTATCTTGGCTTAGCTTAGTTTATACCAGCGACGTTTAACTTAGCTTAGCTTAGCTTAGCTGGGCTTGGCTTGGCTTAGCTTAGCTTAGCTTAGCATAGCCTAGCTTAGCTTAACTTAGCTTAGCATAGCATAGCTACCTTAGATTAGCGCAGCAAAGCGCAGCGCAGCATTAGCACAGCATAGCATAACATAGCCAAGCCAAGCATAGCATAGCAAATCAAAGCATAGCATAGCATAGCTCAGCATAGCATAGCATAGCATAGCATAGCATTGCTTAGCAGAGCGCAGCATAGCATAGCATAGCATAGCAGTGTGTTGCTTTTCTAGAGGCTCCAACTCCTAGGTAGGGTCGCACTGGGATAATTATATATATATAGATTGCCGAGGAGGAGGAGGAGGAGGAGCAGGAGGAGCAGGAGGAGGAGGAGGAGGAGGAGGAGGAGGAGGCCCTCTGCGCGCCGCCAGCGATCACCGCACCGCTCCCCAGGCCGCCCTGGGAGGCCCCATGGGGGGCCTTCCCGCAGGCCGCCGCGCGGTCGCCCCGAACCCCCACCGCCTCACCGCACGGCGCCCGCGGGGGGGGGGGGGGGGGCCGACTCCCGCGCGAGCTGGCCGCCTGCAGGAGTCCCCCGGGGGCCCTCCTGCAGACCGCCCCCCCCCCCCCCTCGCGCCGGCCCCCTCCGCCCCCCCCCCCTCCCTGCGCGGAGGGGGGGGGTAGGCTTCTCAGGAGGAGGCCGCTTCTTGGACGGCGCTGGCCTTACACGAACAGGGCCCGCCCGCGCATTCTGGGAAGCAGGGGAGGCTTCTGAGAAGGCTTCCCCTCTCCTCCTACCCCCCCTCTGCGCGTGGCTCAGGGAGGGGGGGGGGGGGGGCGAGCGGGCTCGGGTGTGCGCTAGGAGGGGTAAGGGGTGGCGAGGGGGAGGGCGAGGACGGCGAGGAGGAGCAGGTGGAGGGCGGGCAGGAGGAAAAAGAGGGGGAGGGAGGAGGAAAAGAGGGGGAAGGAGGAGGAGGAGGAGGAGGAGGAGGAGGAGGAGGAGGAGGAGGGAAAGCCGCATTCGACGAACCCTCAGGCTGTCAGGAACCAGGAACCGGGAGGAGAAGGAGGAGGAGGAGGAGGAGGTCGAAGAGGAGGTCGAGGAGGTCGCCAAAGGACGAAGAGGAGGACGCCCGCGGCGAGTCCAAGCCGACCCCCCGCCGCGCGCGCGACGACCACCTGGAGATTCACATTGGGCGCACGACAAGGTGCAGGAAATGGGCCGCGAAAGGGGCCCTCAACGCCCACCCACGCTCCAAAAACAGTGCTGGGGGGGGCCGCTTCTTCACCCCCCGCCCGGTGCCCACCCCCTGATTGGGGAAGCCCAAAAGTGCCGATACCGCATCTCCCCAGACCTCTCCTGGGGTGCGTTCTGACCAGAATTTCGACGCGAATCCAGCGATGGCAACGAGGGCTTCCCAGGAGGCCCCAAAAAAGGAAAACCAGGCTAGCGTAGTGGTATGGGTACCTTTTCCTCCTCCGACTGATGCCGCTCGTCCGACCCATCCTGGAGCTGGACCTCGTAGCGATTCCTGGCCCGGTCCACCTTCAGGACGGTGCCCGTCTGCCCGTTGTACTGCTGTGCCGTCTTCAGACCGTGCAGCTTCACGACCTCGCCCCACGGTCGGTTGGTAAGAAGAAGCAAGACGAGGACAAATTCGTGCGAGGATACATCGGGAATCTCTGAGATCCGGCGGTTCTGGAGGTTGTCTCGGGCGCCGCGGCCTTCTCAGAGCGTTCCGGAACGCCCTGAGAGCGTTCAAGGACGTTCTGGAAAGGATTTATCCTCGGCCTAGCCCCGTCCGAGTTGGCCTCACCCCTGCAGCCCGAGAGCAAACCGACCGGACCACCCCGAACGCCAGGAAAGCATCCTGGATCGAACGATCCGTGCCTGCCCTCTGGGGGGTGCTGATTGAGAGCCCAGTGCCTGTTCGGCTGTTCTCAGAGCACGTGGGATAAGGGCGGGGCGAGTAGGAGGAGAAGAGAGAGGGAGAGAAAGGAAGAGGAGGAGGAGGAGGAGGAGGAGGAGCAAAGGAAGAGGAGGAGGAGGAGGAAGAAGAGGAGGAGGAGGAGGAGGAGGAGCAAAGGAAGAGGAAGAAGAGGAGGAGGAGAGAGGCTGCGGGGCCCGCAGACATACACCGCCAGTGGGCGCTCGTGGACAAGAGCAAGGTCGTGCGCGCCAACGCGCCGACAGAGGCCGCCGCTGCGCGCCTGCGCCAAGCGCAGGCAGCTGCATTCAGCCATCCGCACAGAGGGGGGGAAAGTCGGCCCAGAATGCGCGCGGTCGACTTGTCTGTTCACCCAGGGGTGGCAGAGTCAGAGCGTGTACTGAGGACGGGTGGCAAGGACGCAAGACCCTTGGAGGCCGCAGTTTGGATTTGTTGGCGACGGTTGACCAGTGAAGACGGCAAAGGACGGGCCGCAGAGGTAAGGACACAAGGGTACCATAGTGCAAGCGACAGCACAAACCATACTGTGCAGACGGCGTACTGTGCGTGCGAGGTGCAATACTTTATCCGACCTGACGCTAAGATCGTAGCACGATCGACATCTATGGCATAAACAGAAGCCTCGGTGGTCGTGTATATATGCGGGCCCTGGAGTGGAGTTTGAAAGGCAACAGGGTAGAGACAGAGGATCAGATAACCAAGCGTTACACAAAGTGGGGAGGAGAAATGGAAGGAACGGAGGAGAGGGAGGAGGAAGGGAAGGATCAGCGGTAGCATACTGGCACGCCCGTGCACGATGCTCAACAGCAAATGAGGTCCAACATTGACATCACTTGCTCTTGGGCAGGCGATATTCTGGCTCGCACGGAACACGTCCGCGCCGACACCGCCGACGAGTCCCGTTCAAAGATGGGCACGAACTGCCTTCGGCCTCCGTCAGCGTCCTTCTCTCGGGGGGCCACATGCGAACCCCACCCTCCCCCTCAGAAATCGTGGGGGGTCGGGTAGAGACATCCTAGACGGGGTCCGAGTTGATGGGGTCGGAGGATGGCGCCGCATCGCCAACGCATCGCCAATGCATCGCAGATGCATCGGCGATGCATCGGCAACGTCGGCGATGCATCGGCGTCAGGAAACGCGGGCTCCACATCGGGCCACATCGTCGATGCCTCGGCGATGCGATCCTCCGACCCCATCTACTCCGACCCCATCTAGGAGGCCTAGATAGGAGTAGGATTCGCATGTGGCCCCCTTGTTCTGCCCCCATCTCGATCGTCCCGAGCAAAGGGTGGCGAGGAGAAGAGGAAGGATTAAGTCGGGCGTGTCCCCCCTACAGGGGGATTTTCGACGGAAAATTAAAAATACCTCAAAAATACCCCAAAATGATCAAACAATACTCAAAAAGTAGTTCCCAGACTATGTTATTCTATTTGGGGATTATTTATGGGGTATTTTGCATTTTTCGTCGAAGATCTCTCTGTAGGCCCGACTTAAAGGAAGGAGGCTGCCTGTGGGAGGCAACGCCTCGGGCTCTGGCAGCCCTCGCGACAGGAACGCTCAGCACCGCATCGGCGATGCCACTGCACTTATGTCGGGCGTGCCCCCCTACAGGGGGATTTTCGACGAAAAATAAAAAATACAAAAAATTACACAAAAAGGTCAAAACATAGCAAAAAAACAGTCCCCATAATATTTGTGGGCTATTGCTTGACTATTTGGGAATATTTCTTATTATTCGTCGAAAATCTCCCTGTAGGGGGACAGGCCGACTTAACACTGCACCGACCCTGCAGACGTGCTGCAGCAAATGTTCGCGTGGACTCCTGTCAATGCAAGACCCCGACCGAGCAGAAAACGAAGCGCCTTTCGCGCGGATTTGCTGTGAGTCTTCATTCCTGGTCCCGAAAGCTCCGCGCGAAACTCGCCTCGAGATCTGGGACGAAATTCTTCAAAACACTCCGGGCCCATCCTGTCGCTGTCCGAACGAAATCCGCTCTGCGATTGAGTATCGTTTATCCGACCCCCATCCCCAGCGGCGTCGCCTGGGCCCCACTGGCCGATTTACCCCCCTGGATGGGGATATAGGCCGTTCCCTTCGGGTTTCGAGGGGTGTATCCCCAACTGGGGTGGTAATTTGGCGGGGGGGTCGAAGGGGATGAGGATGGGGAGGGGGGCCGGATAAACGATACTGAGCGATGTTGGCGCCATGGCGCATCGGAACATGGGATCGCCTCGAAGTGCGCGCCAGCGGGGGGGCGCCGCGGCACGATCGGAACAGCGACCCGGGCTGGCCGCCCCAGGGTGCGCGGCAGCGCCGTCGTGCGAGCAGCAGGTGGGGCCGCAGCAGATCGTCAGGAGGTCGGAGGCGGGTCTGGCAGGCCGAGGCTGAGATCGAAGCGGATCGGCTGGATGAGAAGGGGCCCTACCCTGGTTTCTTGTACAGCGCGGGGGCGTGCCCCCTCGACGGGGGTCATCCTCGCCTCGTCGTCGCGCCGCGACGGGGGTCGGATCGCCTTCGGCGCGCGGTGGCTGCCAGCGACGGGGTGGATGTGGGGCTGTCGGCGGGGGTGACGCCCCCCCGACGCGTATCAAGAACCCCGGAACAAACGTGTGCTCTTGATATTAATCACCCGGGGATAAGAAAGTTCGGGGTCCAGGCGGGATAATACACGTTTTCCTGGAGATCTCAGCATACTGATGAGTATGATGACGATGATGATGATGATGATGATGATGATGATGATGATGATGATGATGATGATGATGATGATGATGATGATGATGATGATGATGATCATCATCATCATCAAGATGATCCTGAAAATTTAGAAGAATACTCAAAAACAGATCAATAGGGATTCCTTTCGGAAATCTATAGGGGTCCTTCGGAAATCCATAGGAATCCAACGAAAATCAACAGGACTCCTTAGGATATTCATGGGATTCCTCAGGAAATCCGCAGGATCCCTTCGGAAGTCCATAGGACTCCTTTGGAAATTCATAGGACTCCGATGGAAATCCATAGGATTCCTTGGGATCTCCATGGGAATCCTAAGGAAACCTATTGGGTCCCTTGGGAATCGAAGGAAATCTCTAGGCTCCCCGGGAATCGATTCGCAACTTTCCCCCGCGTTTTAGCAAGTTCGGCCTTGCCGCCCCTCTTCCCCGACCAAATCTGCACTGGCCGTGGACAATAATTGCTCAATCGTTATAAAAGGGGGGTACAACTTAATATCCGGGGCTGGCGGTTACTTGGGGTGTTGCCATGAAGGAAGCAGGTCTCGAGGGAAATGGGTCCTGGACCACAGGGCCCTCCCCCAGGGCAAGTTCCTCGTCCTGAGCAGTCTTCTGACGGCCCCTGGAGCCCCGGGGAGGGCCCCGAGAGGCTGGAGACTGTGAAACAACTCCAGAACCTGGGGAAACCAAACGGCACCGATACTGCTATCCCCAGACCTCTCCCGGGGTGCGTTCTGACCAGGGTTTCGAAGCGAATCCAGCGGTGGCGACGAGGGCCTCCCAGGAGGCCCAGAAACGGGAAGACGATAGAAGGGTAGAGGTATAGGTACCTTTTCCTCCTCTAAGGACCCGTTTCCCTCAGTACCCGCTTATTCATGTTAAACCTGCGCTTCGGGTCGTAACTCAAGACTCGGGTCAGATCGGGCATGTCCTCCTACAGGCGGATTCTGGGAAACAAACAACAAATAGTTAACAAAATGTTCAATACATCAAAAATAATACAAACATCGACTCCCGACAATTTCGTAACTACTTCCCGGAAAGGGCGCCAGCACAAGGTTCTCTTTTTCCAGGAAAGGGCGCCGGCCCAAGATTCTCTTTTAGTAGATTCACTCCCCCCTGGAATCGACTTGAGACGGGCGGGCGAAATTATGTGCGATAAATAACGAATTCGAAGACGGCCGGCGAATCAAACATTGAGGATGCCCCGAGCGAAACGGTGGTTTTTGAAATTCCGATCGACAAAACATAAAGTAAAGTAAGAATGTTCGTTTGTTACGGATGTCTCGAGCGAAACGCTTGTTTTGCATAATGTGGTGAGGATGTCTCGAGCGAAACTCTTGACTTGGAGACTTCCAAGAACCTGGACGCGCAAGGATGCCCCGGGGAGCCCCGGGAGTGCGGACGCAGCTGAATTCATGAGGAATCGTGGCCTTGGGAGCGTGGGCGCAACTTAGTTTACGAAGGACGCAGCGTCATTTACAAGGGATCATGGCTCTGGGAGCGCGGACACGGCGTAATTTACAAGGGATCGTGACCCTGGGAGCGCGGACGCAACGCAATTTACAAGGGATCGTGGCCCTGGGAGCGCGGACGCACCGTCATTTACATGGATCCTGGCCCTGGGGGGGCGGACACAGCGTGATTCACCAGGGAACGTGGCCCTGGGAGCGCGGACGCAGCATAGTTTACAAGGGATCGCCGCCCAAGGAGAGCGAACGCAGTGTGATTTACTAGGATCCGTGGCCCTGGAAGCGCGAACGCAGCGTAACTTACAATGGATCGTGACCCTGGGGCCGCGGACGCAACGCCGTTTACGACGGAACCTGGCCCTTGGGGGGCTGGCACAGACTAAGGAACGTGGCCCTGGGAGCGCGGACGCAGCGTAATTCACGAGGGAGCGCGGCCCTGGGAGCGCGGACGAAGCATAGTTTTTACCAGGGATCGGCCCAGGGAGAGCGGATGCAGCGTAATTTACAAGGGATCGTGGCCCTGGGAGCGCGGACGCAGCGTAATTCACAATGGATCGTGGCCCTGGGAGCGCGGACGCAGCGTAATTTATGAGGGGTCCTGGCCCTGGGTCAAGGACGTCCCGCGGCACGTTCCCTGACGCGCTCCCTGGCATGTTCCCTGGCGCGTCGCCTGGCACGTTCCCTGGCACGCTCCGTGGCGCGTCCCCTGGCACGTACCCCTGGCACGTCGCGCGGCGCGTCCCCTGGCACGTCCCGTGGCACGTCCATTGGCACGTTCTGTAGCGCGTCCCCTTGGCACGTCCCGCGGTGCGTCCCCATGGCACGTCCCCTGGCGCGTCCCTTGGGACGTCCCGCGGGGCGTCCCCCTGGCATGTCCCCCTGGGGGCAGCTAGCTCGGGCAGCTCGAGCTTAAGGTTCAGATCAGTTCGGTCAGGACTCGGATGCGAAGGAGGACTCGATCCACAACGCTGTAGAGCACAATCGCGGCATGGCACATCGCATTCAGCACGGCGCAGCACTGCACAGCCCTTGGCACAGTACATCAAAATCGATACACTCAGCATTGCAATTGTTGCCCGTCGCCCAATCCGGTGTCTTGAAAACGTTACCATGCCTCACATGTCTATAGTCCTTTTCGGGTTCGTGGCTTGATCATGTTTCGCGAGAGCGGCAGTTACCAGCCCCGGCCGCCCCCCCGTCCCTCACGTCACGATTCGTGCTGATTTCCAAGCATTCCTGATCATTTCTGGACGGTGCTGGCCCGAAACGTGACGTTGCCTGCCTCGCCCTCCCCCCCTCCCCCCCAACTAACGCCCGATGTCGCCCCGGAATAAAAACTTCCTCTCGCCGCTCCCTCACGACACGGAGCCCACAAAAAGACGTACGCGCCCAGACAAATACAGACCCCAGACCCCGTCCGCGAGGCCAGCCGCACGTTCGGGCAACATGTACTTTCGAAACCAGCGTGGGCTCATGCACATGTACGTCCTTCGTAAGCTCGTGGCATCACGCCACGCCCGACTGGCCGCGGACCTCGCCCTGCCGGATGGAGTCCTTGCCCAGGAGCGCCTCGCCCTCCAAGGCGGCGGGCGCCTCCGCCTTGGGCGCCCTCGCGCACGGCGGAGCGGCCGCGACGACGAGGTCCTCTCGGGCAGCGTGGGTAGCGGGCGATCCATTTTCGGGAGCTCCTCCTCCTCCTCCTGCTCTTCCTCCTCCCCCTCCTCGCCCTCCTCCTCCACCCCCTCCTCCTACCCCTCCTCCGTCCCCTTTCCTTGTAAGTTAGTCCTCTCTGGCGCACCCTCGAACGTGTCCGTAGGCCGGGCCGGGCGTAAGTGAAGGCCGCAAAGAAGCTGAGGTAGATCACAGGGGGGGGCGTCCATATATATATATATATATATATATATATATATAAGGTGTGTGCGTGCATGTACAGAGAGACAGACAGAGGCAAACATGATGGTGATATCTGACTTTGCTTTCAGAGAAATCAGTACGTACTCAGGGGAGGAAGTGAAAGAGAGAAAGATAAATAATATATATATATAAGTAAGGGTAAGAGAGGTGGTAAGAGAGGGGGTGCGGCCCGTACATCTACATGTACATGATATACATTTCTCAGATTCACGTGGTAGTGGATACGAATAGATGCATGGAGAGAGAGAGAGAGGGAGAGAGAGAGAGAGGGAGAAATACAGAGAGAGAGAGAGAGGGAGCGAGACAAGTAAGGAACAACAGCACAACAAAGACGATTGAGAGATGCAGAGAGAGAGAGAGAAGAGAAGCATAGAGTGACGAAACCGAGAGCAAACAAAAGAGAAAGAGAGAGACCAGGAAGCGCGAACTCGGAAGCGGGAGCCGGGAACCGCGGAACCCCGGAACAAGGAACCAGGAACCAGGAACTGCTTCGAAGCCCGCGGGGCTTATAACTAGTTAGCGTCACTTGCAACTATGTTGTCAGTGAATTAGAAGTATGATGTACACCAACTGCATATAGTTAGATGTTGCCTATGTACGTATAACTGTTCTATCTCCAGCTCTTGAGTTAGGCGGACAGTCACCATTTAGCAAGCTCTCTAACTTTCAGATGCGCTCCCAAAACGCAATGATAGCATTGATTTCGTGCGCGTGCATGCTCATATGGTCGCATCTCCCGCTCAGGACTGCGAGGTTTCATCTCGCATGCAGAAGGTCTCGAATCCCCACTTTTGCAGAGAACTGCGGAGCGATATTGCATGTAGAAGACATGCTGTCGCTATCCGTAGACATTGGGGCTCAAAAAAGGTAGGTTGCAGTGTCGTGCAAGGTGAATCTTCTAACATGATGACGGATCGTATGGCACTCGCGATCGAACAATGCTGCCCCGCATGGCCGATTTTGCGGAGGTTGTCTTTACATGAGGAGACGAAGGAAATTGCCAGAGCCAATACTATGCTGCCGATGAAAAAATCATATCACGCATATGCACGTGGATACGATGAACATTATGAGGATGGCGTTATACCGAGAGACGTGACAGACCACATTCCAAAAATCTTCAACATCGGATTCAGGAACGATATTCTGGTTGTGAGTTTGCCTGAGACATCCTCGTCCGTCGGAGCTAGCGGATGCCGCGCGAGAGGTTGCCCAGCCAATTGCGCCTGCGACTTGCTCGCAGTGCTGGGGCTCGAAGATGCCACACGCGAGGTGGCCCAGCCACGTTCGCCTGAGACATCCTCGCACCTCCTGGGACATCCTCGCGATTTTGGGCTTGGAGATCTGAACTGGTCCAGCCTGTTCCGTCTGCGGCCTTCCTCGCAACTCTGAGCTCCGAGGTGCCGCGTGTGAGGTGGTCTGGCAAACTGCGCCCGGGTTAGGCTCCTAACTCTGGGTTCCGAAATTCTGTTTCGCCTGGCACCATCCTCGCGACTCTAGGCTCCCAGCTGCCGCGCTGGAGGTGTTTCCTCGTCGCCGTCGTCGTCGTCGTCGTCGTCGTCGTCGTCGCGTCGTCGTCGTCGTTGACATCGTAGCCGTCGTCGTCGTCGTCGTCTCCATCGTCGTCGTCGTCATCATCACTGATGTCCTCATCGTCGCCGCCGCCGAAACAAACATCGTCGCGGCCGCCGCTGCCGCCGCTGCCGAGGCCACGGCAGTCCTCGTCGTCGCCGTCGCCCCCCTCCTCCTCCTCATCCGACCCACTTCCTTCGTGCATTTTCGAGGGTGGTGCACTTCCCGCAGGGGCAGCCAATGCCTACATCCCCCTGCCACACGTGCCCGCTCAGGGATTGTGCACTTCCCGCATGGCTACTAACTCCGAGGCCCCTCATCCCACGCGAACCCGCTCGAGGATCGCGAACTTCTCGCATTCCCAGCCGCTGCTCCCAAGCGCTACAGGGCCTCTCAAGCAACGATGCGCGTCCCGAGCTAAGACGGCCCGCGAAGGCTCAAGAGGGCCAACAAATGGCCACGAGAGGACCTCTAACAGGGTCAGGAGAAGCCAAAACCATTGATTCCCCGCGACGTTCAATGTTTGTCGCATTCTCGCCTTTTCGGGCTGCCGTCAGCTCAAGGCGGGCCACGTGGACTCCACGATGGCCCAAAAGGCATCCAAGACGGCCCCAAGGCAGCTCAAAAGGACCCCCCGTGGGACCCAAGACGGCCTTACAAGGCCCTTCGACGGCCCCAGGCGGCGCCGAGACGGCGTCACGACGGCCCCTAGACACCCACCATACTGCCAAGAAGGCAACAAGACGGCCCAAGAGAGCCCCGAGCTGGCGTAAGAGGGCCACGAGACAGTCCAAGAGGGCACCAAGGAAACACCAAGAATGCCTCAAAGAAGGCCGAGGAAGCCCCAAGACGGACCAACCGAGTTTCAACAACACCATCAGCATCATCATCAGCAACAACACCATCAGCATCAGCATCCGCATCAGCATTAGCATCAGCATCATCATCACCATCATCAGCATCATAATCAGCATCATTAGCATCAACATCCTCATCACCATCGTCATCATCGTCATCGACATCGTCACCGTCATCGCCATCGCCATAGTCGTCATCCTCATCATCAGCAGCAGCATCATCAGCAGCAGCATTATCATCAGCAAACGCAGCAGCATCATCATCATCAGCAGCATCAGCATCAGCATCATCAGCGTCATCATCATCAGCAGCATCAGCATCAGCATCCGCATGAGCATCATTAACAGCATTACCATCAACACCAACACCACCACAATCCATCATCAACCTCAACAAAATCATCATCAGCAGCATCGTCATCATCCGCATAAACATAAGCATCAGCATCAGCAGCATCATCAGCATCATCAGCATCGTCACCATCATAATCATCATCAGCATCCTGGTCACCAGCTTCTTCATCATCATCATCATCATCATCATAACCAGCATCATCGGCATCATCATCCTCATCATCATCATGATCAGATCGGCATCGTCGGCGTCGTCGTCGGCGTCATCATCATCATCATCAGCATCATCACCATCCTTATCACCACCACCACCACCATCGTCGTCAGTTTCATCATCACCACGAATCCTCGCAATCGTCATGACTATTATCATCATCATCATCATCAGCAGCAGCACCGTCGTAATCATCCTGTCATCGTCAACAGCTGCAGCATAAGCACCAGCATAAGCATCAGCGTCGGCATCAGCATCAACATCATAGTCAGCATAAGCATGATCATCATCATCATCATCATCATCATCATCATCACCATAACCATCACCATCACTGTTATCATCATCGTCATCACCATCACGATCATCAGCATCCTCAGCAGCATCATCATCGTCGTCATCGTCACCACCATCATCATCATCACCACCACCATCATCATCATCATCATCACCACCATCACCATCATCATCATCAGCATCAGCATCAGCAGCATCAGCATCATCATCGTCATCACCCCCGTCATCCTCATAATCCTCATCCCGGCTCTCCTAAGCCTCGAGACACAAGTCGTCGCACGTGACGGCCTGCCATGCCCCCCCAGTCGAGCAGTCGCCACCCAGAAAACTGGGTGGCGCGCTTGCTGGACTTGCCGCAAGCAGATGATATTCGCGAAGCCCGGAAAATTATCAACCGCCTCCAGGAAGAATCTGTCTCCCGTTTGAAAAGCACACTCCCTATAGCGATCGCTTCCCGACGAGAAAACGCTGCCAATCAAAACGAGATCAATCCTATTTCATTCCGGTCCAGAGCGTGTGGCCTTACATCCGGGCCAGGTTTCACGTTCGGCTCCCGGCCGTGCGACCCTGGTTCCTCAATCAACACAGGGTGCTGCACTGTGAACAGGAGCTGTGCCGTAGCATAAAAACTTGGCCACCCAGGCGTTTGTCAAGGAGCTTCACTGCCTTCGCGCCTGGATGCGTAGGAGACGCAACGCTGCATGGATCCAGCGAGCCTGCCTCTGGTGCTTCGTATCCTTTCGAGAAGAGTGTAGTGGTTCCGGCTGGCAAGCTGTACCTGATCTGCCCTGTGGTAGTGCCTTCCCAGCAAGCGGTGCTGAGCGGGTGGGAACCGTGACGCTGATCAGCATCAGTGACAACATCCATATCCACTACTAGTTTGTATTCCCGAGCGTCCCCCACCACAAACGATTATCATCAAAGTGCAATCCACAAGTACCTTTGGTCTGAGTGGGGTAATACGTTGCCCAGCCGTCTGTCCTATTCAGTACATCGTAGCGCGTGAGGTGCTTGTTCATGCCACCACCACCACCCGCTGTTAGAACAAAAAACACGGTGCTCAAACACCTCCTGCTCGTACCACAGGTCTGCGATATTGGTCCTGCACACGATGTGATGCATGCGAATGGGACCCCACAGGAAAACCTGGGTACCCGTCTTATCTGTAACCATTAGGTGTGCCGACTTCAAATAGAATCCATCGTCAGGGATTGGGGGAAAAAAAAAACATGGCATCCACGGCCGTGTCTCGGCTGTCAAATTTCTCGCCACGACCGAGGGCGAAGTCAAACTTGACTGTCCACTGTTCGGAGCCCTCTGCCCCCAGATGTCGCGAGTGCACTTGTCGAGATAGAACTGAGATAACTCTTTGCTGTGGTGAACCAGCGACTTCGTAGCCGGACAGCTGAAAGCTAGCTGGAAGCAGGCACTAAAGCAGCACACATCACAAAACGTCGCGGACCGCGTGGCTGGAAAACTCTGAGCACTCACCTCGCATCCGCATGGTCCTTGCAACCTTGCTGCACTTGTTGCAGCCAAAGCCCCCTACAAACCGACATGGCGATGGAATGTGGTTGACCATGGAGCGCATTTTTCTTTTCGCGGCCATAACGGGTGTTACAGGAATATGTGGGGGGGGGGGGGCGGCGGGCAAAACGTAAGGCCCCCCCCCCCGCGGTGTACACAGCGCCGATCCATTGACCCTGATTCGATCGCTGCCGCGATCGTTCTGGGTTGAGTTCCGCCAGGTCCAGTTGCGGCACCGCGTCCCTCGGTGAAATCCGCGCCGCAGAATTCAACCTTGACCGCCTTCGCTGGCGTCGCCAGCGCACCAACGCCGCAAGAACCTACTGTACCCGTCGGTCGGAAGAAGTGGATGGAAGCATTAAGTTGGAGGGCGCTGACATAGATTGGGCTTCCGCCCGCCCCCTGAAGTTTTGAACGAAGAACGGAACCCACTCGATCGCTGAAGTAGGAAGGCGCCTGGAGTATATTGGAATCAAAGGATCCAGCAAACCTCCTTTCAACGATCGACGAGTACAGTGGAGGCCAGTCCACAAGAAACCTTCCACAAGAAACCTGACCCTGAGAGCCCAGGACGTCCATCGATTTTCGGCGTGGGAACGTCACACTCTTCAACGCAGAACCCTCGAAACCCAAGAAACCCAGGGCACCCTGGAGGCAAGCAGGGTGCCCCTTGGCCATGGGCCTCCAATGTATGGGCCGTTGAAAACCCTTGTCCTCGTAGTCTCAGAACATGTGATGGCCTTGGCATTGGCGCGGTTTGGTTTAAAGCTCGAGTTCCCTAAGGCGGCCCAAGATGATCGAGCCACTCAGGTCATGGTAATGACAAGATCTAGGCTTTGAAGAAATGGCCCTGGACTGGGGATATCCGTTCTTGAATCTAGTAAACCGGTTTCTGCGTTTTCTAAACGATGTGATGTCTTGTTTCGATCAGGCGGCGCAATTTGATAAATCCGTTTCTCGCTTCAGTAAATCATCGTTGTTTGCCATAGTTTGTGTTGCGAATGCGCGTCCATTCATTACCATGACCCATGTGGGCCGATGATTCAAGAGGTCGCGATGCCACGCAGCAACGGTCGGGATCCCGAGAACCTCGCTAATCTCGCCGAGTGCTTCCAACGACCGGCGGGCACCGCTGCCCTGGACCCCCCCCCCCCGGGTGGAGGTTGCATCAAAGTGCCTGCAAACAAAGCGTCTTTGAGCTGTGGAATAGCTTCTCGGGGACGTCAGGCGTTAGTTGTAACACTCCGAATCATCAGCGTGCACCCGCCAGACCTATGACACATGGCGGATCAGAGCCAAACGAAAACTTGGGGCAAGCACGCAACATCCTTCACAATTGCTATATATACCGCTGCGCTGGTCACTGCCTGCCCAACTTCCCCGTTTAAGTGACTGCCAATCATGCATTCGAACGCGCTGCGAAGCACGAGCCGTGATGTCGATTCGTTGCGCCCATTGGAGCGAACACATCGCGCCCCCCTGAGGCGAGCGCACACTGAACCCCGCGGTTCAATAACATCGTCCTAACATACAAAATGAAGCTGCCAACGTTAACACGAACCTTGCACCATATAACTTCCACCACACGAAACACACTTCAAGATGTTGCACCACATGCCTTGTTCCACATTGCTTCTACATTTTCAAAACCACGTTGAATCGCTGCATGTGGGCCCGCGTTGGTAACGCCCTTCATTCAAATCGCACAAATCGCAGGTCAAGTATCAGCTCAGGAAAACGCACGGGAGGCAGGTCGCTTGCGAAGGTTGCGCGCAGCCACAGCGGTCGCTGGCCCCTTGCGCAATAGTTTGGCACTGCGAGGCAAGCTGCCGAAGTCAACGCGAGGATTTGCTCGCGCCGACACCTTTAACTTTGGGGCGAATTTTGGCGGGCTCTGAATAAGCGCGCCCAGTGCAGCCTGCAGAACCTCGCGCTCTTGGTGAGATTCAGTCAAGGGCAAGCTCTTCCTGGCCCACCCGACCAACAACTTGGCGAACGTGCAGATTGAGCATACTGCCCGCGCATTCCGCTCGGTTTGGATGAACACATTGCGGAAAAAACGCTTTCAATTGCATGTGCAACGCCTCATTCCTCGTAGTCCCGTGCATGACTTCCATGTCAGGATCCCGAGCAATACCCCCCCCTAGGTTGAGGAGGTATTCAAGTTGCTTAGATGATGTTGCATATCGCAAGCTTCCGAGAATAGTCGTCTTCTTGCTGGTTGTCTTGGTCATCTCCTTCGGGAAAAGCTTGCACAATGCGGCCATGTCCTTGACAAAGGCTGCGGCGGTGCGGCATGGCCGCTCAGAGTAGCCCTCCGACTCGATCACCGTCTGCACCCGCGCAGCCAAGGCATCAGACATCGAAGCAATCACATCATCTAGGGGTTGCGTATCCGTTTGCCGCCGGTGTCCGCGGAAATACGGCCTACCATCGTCGAGTCCTTTGGAGAACTTGACGATGCATTTGCGGATGAGGTTAGATAGCCGAGTCCGTTTCTCGTTAGATGCTTGCTCAACTTTGAGAGCGACGTGAAGCGGGTCTTTGGCAATGCATTGCAGACGCCGAAAAGACTCTCGAAGAGCGCTTTCCTCTAGAGAAGCAGGCGCATCAGAACAGATCATGCGCACCTGTCTCGCGCCGCTCTCGTCGCCAACAGCGTCAAGTAAAGCCTTCTGCGCGTGTTTGAACGCCTCGGACTGCGCCGGCTGCACCAGTAATACGGAATCCATGCATTGGACCGACAGTTGGACATGAACCCCGTGTTTTCGATCGCCACCTGTTTTGCAAACCATGCCCTTACGTCGATCCAACCAACGCTGTCTCTGGGCCTCTGATTGGCGCGTGAACTTCCTCGCTACGTCGGGAAGCTAACGCGTTAATCTCGTGTAGTCGGCGCAGAGCCAGCATGGCCAGGATCGAAAGTCACGCATACCTTGCATGGGCATCACCTGTTGTTGCTCCATGCTGCGTCTGGTACAACCCGGACATCAGGGTATAATATTGCCCATCAATGCCAATGACAGTTTTGTCTGCGTTCTGGCGGCACTTGGCGATCATGTGCTTCACGGTAGAATTTCGCATCAACGCTTCAACGAAAGTCAAATGAATTCGAGAGTCTCCTCCTCCTCCTCCTCCTCCTCCTCCTCCTCCTCCTCCTCCTCCTCCTCCTCCTCCTCCTCCTCCTCTCGACTATCTGACTCCAGCTCCAAGGCCAGATCCTGCAGATCCTTTTGTGGATCTCTGAGGCCTGCGAAATCCTCCGAGGCCGCCGGCATGGATGAAGAGGAAGCAAGGAGAGGATAGGAAGGAACAGGAGGAGGAGAAGGAGGACAGACAATGAAAACTCACTCTACCTTCCCCTCCTCCTGCTGCTGATCCTCCTCCACATCTTCTTCCTCTTCCCCCTCCTCCTACTCCTCTTTCTCCTCCTCTTCCTCCTGTTATCCTCCACCGCTTCTGTCATAATTGCACTAGACGTTCTTTGCAGAGTCTTTGGATGGAGTGCCAACGGATTCGTTCATAGGCGCCATCGTCATGTTTCACTCTTCTCGGGCGCCGTCTTGCGCGAGGCTACTGACCTCTGAATCCTTTTTGACAGATTACAACAAGATTCCTGTTGTGAAGATTACAATCGGATTCGTTTTGAGGAGAATTACAACATGATTTCTTTTGTCAAGGATTACAATAGGATTCCTTTTGTACAGGATTACACTAGGATTCCTTTTGAGGAGGATTACAATAGGACTCCTTTTGAGGAGAATTACATTAGGATTCCTTTTGCAGAGGATTACACTAGGATTCCTTTTGGAGGGGGTTACAATAGGATTCCTTGTGCGACTGATTACAATAGGATTCCTTTTGTAGAGGATTACAATAAGATTCCTTTTGTAGCGGTACTTGGGAGGAACCCCGAAGGATTTAATCCTGCTCGAAAGGAATCCTATTGTAATCTCACCAAAAAGAATTCAATTCTAATCCTCAACAGGAATCCGATTGAAAGCCGATACAAAAGGAATCCTATTGAAAGCCGATACAAAGAAATCTTCTTGAAACCGTGAAGGCGAGCTGTGTGTAAGTGCTCTGGGAAGCTCTGTTTGAGGACACGGCGATACAACCCTTACCCCCCCCCCCCGGCAGCGCCGGTCCCTGAGCGGCAGGCGGAGGCCCTGCGCCTCCACGGCGAGCAGGTTCTCCTGCGGGAGGTGGCCCCAGGGCCGCTCCCCACTTCCGCCTCGTCGTCCTGGTCTGGGCGCCTCCTCCTCCTCCTCCTCCTCCTCCTTCTCCTCCTGCGCCTCATCCTCGTCCTGCCCTTCCTCCTCCAACTCCTTGTCCTCGTCGTCGTCGTCAACCTCATGAGTATCATCCATCACAATCACCACAATCACAATCCCAATCAACGTCTTCATCATCACCATCATCATCAGCATCATCATCAGTGACATCAACAACAACAACAACAACAACAACAACATCGACAACGTCATCATCAGCAACATAATCATCAGCAGCAGCAGCAGCAGCAGCATCATCATCAGCATCATCAGCATCATCATGATCATCGTCATCAGCAGCATCATGATCATCATCATCAGCACCGTCATCCTCATTATCACCATCATCATCATCACCATCATCACCACCACCACCACAATCACCTACCTCCTCCACCTCCCCATCCGCATCCTATTCGTCCTCCTCATCATCATTGCCATCATCATCCTCAATAACATCAACATCATCGTTATCAGCATCACCATCAGCATCAACACATAACCACATAACCATCCAATATATCATCAGAACTATCATGACCGTCATGATCATAATGGTCAGCATCAGCAGCAGCATCAGCATCGACAGCATCCATATCATCATCAGCATAAACAGTATCAGCATCATCATCATCATCATCATCATCATAGTCATCAGCACCAGCATCATCGACATCATCCTCATTATCATAATGATAGGTATCGTCATCATCATCATCATCATCAGCATCATCATCTTTCCCAACACCAACATCATCTACACAACAACCACGGTCATTATCATCAGTGACATCAGCATCATCATCATCATCGCCATGAAGCATCATCCTCACCATCATCAGCACCATCATCACGATAATCATCATAATCGTCATCATCATCATAATCATCATCTGTTTCACAAGCATCAGCATAATCATCACCACCACAACAAGCGCAATCATCATCAGCAGCAGCATCATCGGTATCATCCTCAGCATCGTCACCGTCAACGTCAATATCATCATCATCATCATCAGCATCATCATCATCATCATCATCATCATCATCATCATCATCATCATCATAATCATCATCATCATCATCATCATCATCATCATCATCATCATCATCATCATCATCATCATCATCATCATCATCATCATCATCATCATCATCATCATCATCATCATCATCATCATCATCATCATCATCATCATCATCATCATCATCATCATCATCATCATCATCATCATCATCATCATCATCATCATCATCATCATCATCATCATCAATCATTATCATCATGATCATCATCATCATCATCATTATCATCATCATCATCGTCATCATGAGCATCACCAGCAACAGCAGAATCAGTATCAGCATCAGTATCATCATCAACATGAGCAGCAGCAGCATCAACATCGTCATCAACAGCATCATCATGATCAGCAACAGCATCATCATCATCATCGTCATCGTCGTCGTCATCAATATCATCATCATCATCATCATCATCATCATCATCATCATCATCACCATCGTCATCATCGTCATCACCACCATCACCACCATCATCATCAGCAGCATCATCATCAGCATCATCATCATCCGTAGCCGTTTGGGCTCAAGCCGCGTTTCCTGCCTTCTCCATTGCCCTTTCGACCATGGCCGCGGCGTGCTGCTGGGGGTCTGAAGGCTGCTGAGCGGTTGAAGAGCTGGAAACTTTGAGGATGGCGCAGGAGGGCACGCCGTGCGGGCGTCCCCGGAAGACGGCTGCAAAGGCGGAACGCCGCCCGCCAAGGAGGTTCCAGCCTGAGAAGGCAGAGGCCCTGCTCGTCGGCGACGCTGAGGCTGGGGACCAGGTGGTCGCGATCCTTCCCGCGCTGACGGCGAGGTTGGGGGGCCACCTTCCCAGGCTCATGGACCGGCTGCGGCGCAACGTTGCCATGCACGCAAAAGTTCCTGCAGGCGCTGAGGTTGCGCGGGCTCAGCCGCAGCAGCTCAGGGATTGGCGGCGCAATGCACGGCTCGAAGCTCGGCAACATGGCGGCCCTCTGTACGTGCGGCGCCATGCTCGTCTCCTCCCGTCGCAGACAGTGCTGGCTGCAGGTGGAGGGCGACGATTCCGAGCCGAGGGAGGCCGAGAATCTGGGCGCCGCCGCGCCCGCGTCCGACGTCGAGGCCGACAAGTCTGATGGGGCCACGGTCGTCTTGCGGCCCGACGCCGCGACCGAAGCGCAGTCCGACGCCGTGCCTGGCATCAGTGCTGCGGCTGCGTCAGCCCCGGGGCTGAGCAGCTTCAGGGCCGAGGCGCCCATCTTCGCCCCGCTCGAAGAGCTCCATAAGCTCGCAGTGGAGCTCCCTGGAGGAGGAGGAGGAGGAGGAGGAGTGCAACCGGTCGTGCGGCGACGTGCGCGTCTGTTTCGAGCGCCAGGCGGCCAGATGCCAGCCGACGGGGCGCCCCCAACCCCCGCAGCTGAGGGCCCGGAAGGTGGCATGCAGGAAGTGGAGGCGGCTGATGCTGATGCAGCCGCTCGTGGTGGTGATCCTCGCCTTCGTGGCGTGAGCGGTATCGGGCCGCCCACGGAAGCGCTGTGTGAGCAGCACTAGCTGCTGCTGTGGGCGTCGTTCGCAAGTGGCGAAGGTGGCGGGTGCTCTTGTGGCTCGTGGCGCCGCCCTTCGTCGAAGTGCGGCCTCGCGGGCAAGTGGCGGAAATGGTAAGTCCTCGTGCGGATCGTGGCGCCACCCTGCCGCGAGGACCTTTGTGTCTGCTCATTGCTGGTGTGCGAATTTCCTGGCGCGCATACTTTGTGCACGGCCTGTATGGATATGTGAGAGAACGCGTTTGACGGGCGCTTGCCTGGGAACATTTGGCGGCGCGTTTCGAGCCGGGGGGTGGGCCCCCATCCCTCCCAACACTGGGCGCCGTCGATCAAAACCAGGGGGACTCCCCTCCCCCCCAAACCCCCACCCTCCCGAAACCCCCACCCCCA